GAGAAGACAAGACACTGTGATCATTTACAAGCACATCTGAAGATGAGACAGGGACTCTGAAAACGAGTGTAGGCAGGTAATCAGAAAACTTGAATCCAAGTCGTTAAGTCTGCTACCATCTGACCACTTATCTATAACTTCTCTAGATAACCCAAAGGACTCAGGCAATGGAAAACTATGGTTTTAAAACAAATCTTCCCCACCTCCCCCCCAAAAAATGGGGCCAGTAGGTGGCATACTGGTTAAGACTGGACTTGCACATGTCTGATCACAGTTCAAGTCCTGGACCTGGTGGCTTGAAAATCACACCAAGCACCATGCGTGCCCAAAATCCTAAGAGAATGAAAGAGAACTGTGATGTGGACATCACCCCTTGGGGGGTGATTTCTCACTTTCCCTCTGACTATCTCTTCCTCTCTGGCGAGTGCACATGCCCTATGACAAAAATCTTAAAACAAAACAAAACAAAACAAAACAAAAAATAACAGGGACCAACAGATGGCATAATAGTTACATCTCTGGACTCCCACGTAGTCAACTGCAGCTCAAGTCCTGGACCCAGCAGCTTAAAACTCACACTGGACACGTGTACATGAGTGCCCAAGATCCCGAGGGGAGAATGGAGGAGAAGGAATTGTGGCATGGCCAGCTCCCTGGGGGTGGGGGGTGGGGTGATTTCTCACTTTCTCTCTCTCTGAAATATCTTTAAAACAAAACAAAGAAAGCAATAAAACCTGGCCAGATGCTGGATTCTTATAATATAACCTGCCTGAGACTATATTAATAAATGAAACCATGGCATCTGAAGATCTGAAGGGGTTCCACGACTTCAGAGAAGAAACACTGGAGAAGTGACTGAGAAATAAGGAGTAATAAAATGAAAAATCATTTTATCTAGCAGGACTAAAGGGTATCTAATGGTCCATTTTCTTTTTTTTTTTAAGAGAGATTTTTGCTATAGGGTGTGTGTGCTTGCCAGAGACACAGAGAGAGGTGGAACCATTATGCCTTCTGCTGGTCCATTTTAAAATCTGTAAATATTATTATCATCACATAAGCATGATTATTTCTCCCCAAAGGGTCTTGACTCCAAACCAACATAGTTCCCTAAAGGATCGTTTCCCCTATTTACCAATGAAAAATATAGTTAAATAAATGAAACTTTTCTTAAGCTTCACCATCTTCCTTTATTTAGAGAATGTTTAATCCTACTAATCAATAAATGAAGGGTTTCATAACAGGAGCAAAAGGCGAAGAATTTCAAAGACACATGAATATTCTTACCTTTACATCCACAAGATCGAATGAAAAAGTTAATGAGCTCAAGGAATCCTGCATCTGGGTCTAGCTTGTAGCTATCCAGCCACTCATCCACCAAAGACTGAAGAAAAAAGATGAAGATGATTTCTATTTCTGGCAATATGACAGAACAGAAATCCTATATGATCTTTTCAATTGAAGCATCAACTTATTAAAATATCTCCATGCTGGGTGTGTATGCATGCATGCCCCAAATCCTGACTGGATGGAGAAATAAGAGAAGAAACTGCAGCATGACCATGCCCCACCAGTCCCTCTCTCTCTGATGAATGCATGTACCCCCTGACGACTTTAAAAAAGGAAAAAACACATATTAAAATGTCTTAAGCATCTTAGAAAAATACATTGCTTGGGCCAACTCCCTGACCTACAGGTTAAGGAAGCCAGATCCCACATAGCTGACCATATAATTAAAATCCTAGCCCAGCAGCCTTGAAAAACATGCTAAGTGTGTGTACATGCAAGTCCTAAATCTCAACAGGATGTCAAGGAATGAAGGAGAAGGATTATGGCATGGCCAGGCTTCACTGGGGACTACTTTTTCCCTCTCTCTCTTTGCCTCTTCTGGGAAGTGCATGTGTCTTCCAGCAATTAAGAAAAAAAAAAATGCATTGCTGAACTAGAATTCCATACAGGCCAAAAATGAGGTAAAGATAGAAATCCTGGGAGATGAACAAGCTAGTGAGGATTTCCTTAAACCATGGAGACCCTGACTTTGTGTCCAAATGACTGCATGGAGTATAAAAAACAGGAGGGAAAGCCCAAGGTCTTTCCAAGAAAAGTAGTTCAAAAAAAAGACTCCTATGTAAAGCTGAGTCCTACAAAGAGTCACATCCTCATGAAAGCACAAATGAAAAATAGACCTACAGAGCAGATGGGACAACAGAAAGACTAGCTTATTGTAACCTTACTGTGAGGGCATAGGAAAAATTAAACTCTCCATTGAAATTTCATAACCACAGCCAGCCTTCAGGTCTAGATTTGTAGTTCAGATTTACCTACCTATAAAATCAGAATAATCTCAATCAGATAATTTAACTTGAAGTGATTTTGAAGTGTCCCCAGGCAATTGCCAAAAGCAAACAAGTTTGTTAAAAGCCCATCTTCAACCCAGGTCTCAAAAAATTTCAACACAGGCCAGCAGGTGGCATGGTGGTTAAAGGCGCTGGACTCCAACATGGTCAACCAGTGTTCAAGTCCTGGACCTGGTGGCTTGCTTTCTCACTTTCCCCCTCCCTCCCTCCCTCCCTCTCTCTCTCTCTCTCTCTCTCTCGTCAAATAAAGAAAAAAAATAACAATAACAAATGGAAATAAATAAATAAATAATTCTTAAAAAAAAAGAGTATAGGCAATATAGGCAAGTTATCCAATAAATAAGCAAGATGTGAGTTTGTCAAAAGTGCTGTAATGACAGGATAATATGAAAAAAGTACGCAAACATTTGGGAGGATGCTACTTTCGTTTTTATCCTGAGTAACTGGAGAAATGCTGGAACTATGATGAATTTGAAAAGATGAGAGGACTCAGGGCCAGCAGATGGCATCCTGGACTCCCACACAGTCGACCACAGTTCAGATCTCGGACCTAGTGGCTTGTTTTCTCACTTTCTCTCTCTGGTGAGTGCATATGCCCTGTAGCAAAATTGGAAAAAAAATAAATAAAAAGGGAGAATTCAAAAGGAAGGAGAGGTTTTGCCATAGGGTGCATGCGCTCGCCAGACAGACAGAGAGAGGCAGAGAGACAGAAAGCGAGAAATCACCCCTCCCAGGAGGAATGGCCACACCGCAAACCCTTCTCTTCCATTCTCCTCTTGGGGTCTTGTACACTCACACACATGCACGGTGTGAGTTTTAAGCCACCAGATCCAGGACTCGAACCACGGTTGACTACATAGGAATCCAGCGACATAGCCATTACACTAGCTGTTGGTGCTTAGATGTGTTCTGTTTTGAACATTTGAGCTAGAGATGGTAACAGGAAATTTAGATGGAAATACTGAGTGAGAAGTGAGAGCCATCAGGGTTAGAAATGTATGTACTTTTTTTCTTTTAGAATTATTTAACTTTATTTATTTATTTGTTTATTTGTTTATGTATTTTAATTTAACCAGAGAGGGACGGGGGTGAGGGTGAAAAAGCAAGCCGCCAGGTCTGGGACTTGAACCATGGTTGGCCATGTGAGAGTCCAGCACTCTTTTTTTTGGAGAGGTTTTAGCTATAGGACATGTGTGCTCACCAGAGGGACCAAGAGATGGAGAGACAGAGAGAGGCGGAGAGACAGAAAGTGAGAAATCACCCCCCAGGGGGATGGCCATGCCACAATCCCTTCTCCATTCTCCTCTTGGGATCTTGGGCACACGTGCACATGCGCCCGGTGTGAGTTTAAGCTACCAGGTCCGGAACTCGAACCACCACTGACTACATGGGAGTCCAGCGACATAGCCATTACATCAACTGCTGGTCCCCCAATGTAACTGTAATTTTAAAACCATTAACTGACATTTTTCTATCCCCCTCTCCTCTTCTCTTCCCAGCCTAAAGTAACTTCTGCTGTACTCACTAATTTTTTTTTTCTTTTTTTGGAGAGGTTTTTGCTATAGGGCATGTGCACGCACCAGAAAGACAGAAAGAGACAGAGAGACAGAAAGTGTGAAATCACTCCTCAGGGTGGATGGCCACGCTGCAATCCCTTCTCCTCCATTCTCCTCTTGGGATCTTGGGCACACACGCACATGTGCCTGGCATGAGTTTAAGCCATGGGGTCCGGGACTCGAACTACAGAAGACTACATGGGAGTCCAGCGACAAAGCCATTACGCCAATTGCTGGTCCCTGTACTCACTACTTTTATATAACCTCTTTAGTCAGAACCCGAATGAGAACATGTGATTTTTTTCCTTCTGTTCCTGGATTATTTCTCTTAACATGTCCTCCGGCCTTGTCCCTGCTACTTTGAATGACAGGAGTTTTCCTTTTTTTAACGGCCAAGGAGTACTCCGTTGTGTACGCACAGGCACACGCACAACATGTTCACTTTATCCTTTTGTCTGTTGGTGACACAGGCTGGTTCCTTGCCTTCCGTGTGAAGACTGCTGTGTGGACATGGGCATGCTGAGGTCTCCACGACACACTGACTTCCTTCCCTTTGGGTCTTCACCTGTGGGATTGCTGGGTCATATGATACAGTTCTAGTTTGGCTTTTTGAAGAACCTCCTTACCAGTTAAAGATATATTCTTGAGACAGGTGGGGACCTCCACAAAGCAGACTGGGTGGAGTCTCAGGCAGCCAAGCCAATGGACAGTTTCCAGGGGCTCAAGTCAATGACATGACACGGGGGTCTAAACCTTGGCTGCACTTTGGAGAGCTTTAAAATTATGTACAAAGTGTGTCCAGGAAGCTCATGGTAAGTGCATATTACGAAAAATACCATGCACCAAAATAAACTCATACTTTGATCCCATTTTTCCTGAGCTTTTGAGGTCTCCTAGTATGCCTGGTCAGGGCACTGCTTTACTTGGTGTGGGTGCAGCTGCCTGGGTGATTCGCGAAATTCCAGTGTGCAGCCAGGATTGCAGACAGTGCCCTGTGAGGTCGGCTTACACCCAGCAGCCTGCTGGCAGTGGGGTATAGGATGTGGTTTCCATAGCTCGATCAGTTCACAACTCATAATTCCTGTTTCAGATGTTTCGAAAAATTACAGCCGGCCTATCAAGTGACCTTTCCAGGACAAGAGCCTGTTGTGAAGAAAGGGAAACTCTATCCAATTGACATCACCCTCGCACAGAGAGCTTCGAATAAAAAGGTACTTTTAAAAGATAGAATGTTTGAAGGTAGTATCTTTTTTTTTTAAGAACTATTTTATTTTATTCTATTCATTGTCATTATTTTACTTCATAAAAATTTTATTGAAGTTGACCAGAGAGAGACAGAGATAAAGAAGGAAAGTAAGAAAGCAAGCCGCCAGGCCAGGATTCAAACCACAGCCAGCCACGTGGGAGTCAGCTCTCTTCACCACTACCCCATCTGCCAGCCCCTGAAGGTGGTAGCTTAACGTCTCACAGATTGTTCATGAAATAGCTATTTCTGTGTGTCTGGGCTGGGCTTTATGTAGAACAGCTAAAGCTGACCCCGACCCCGTTCACTGCACTCAGGATTTTGTGCTGCGACACTTGCTGGGTTCTGGTTCCAAAAGTAAACGACATTTTCTTTTCTATCTTTCTGCTTAGAACTACATTATGGGCTTTTAGCTCTTCCTTGTCATGCTACCTCTTGGGCCTTGCTCAATGAAAACAACTTGTAAGAAAATGCTGAAGGAATTCAGTGTTTAGCTTGGCCATACAACATTATAGGGAACAAATCACGTCTGTCCTCAAATACGTGAAAAGCTGTCCTCTGGAAAAGGAGTGCACTTATTCTGTATGTTTTAAGAAGACGGAACTAGGCTTACTCGGCGGAAATCCCAAGACAGACCTGGGTTCAAGATAAAGAACCTTGTAGTCGTGTGCACCAGAATTAGACCGGGGTTTCATTGCTGCTTGACCAGGAGCAAGTTTCTTAATCTTTTTGCCTTACTTTGCTTATATGAAAAGCGGGAATAATCCCTACCTTGTAAGGCTCAGTAAGGATCCAGTGAAGGATTATACATGGTGAAGCACTTCGAACAGTGCATGGCATATGAGCATTTAATAAATGAGAACCACTAAGGATAACCTTAGTAATAATTAGCAATAGCCACTGTTTGTTTGTTTGTTTATAAAAAGAATCACTTATTTATTTTTATGTATTCATTTGTTTGTTTAATTTGACCAGAGGGGAGAGAGAGAGAGAAAGTGAGAAAGCAAGCCACCAGGCCCAGGACTCGAACCGAGGTTGGCCATGTGGGAGTGTCCAGTGCCTTAACCACCATGCCACCTGCTCGTCCCCTATTTATTTATTTTTGTTAGAGAGATATTTGCTGTAGTACATGTGTACTCGCCAGAGAGATAGAAAGCAAGAAATTGCCCGCCAGGGGAAGGGCCATGCCACAGTCCCTTTCCCGGTCTCTTCTTGGGATCTTGGGCACACTCGCACATGTGCCTGGCGTGAGTTTTAAGCTGTTGAGTCTGGAGACAAACTGCGGTCAACTATGTGGGAGTCCAGCACTGTAACCATTATGCCATCTGCTGGTCCCAGCAGAACGTTTACAGAACGTTTTTAGTTATGTGTCAGACACTATACTAAGCCCTGTTTATATATTCATGTATACTAATTTTTTTCATGTGTTTATTTTTTAAAACTTGATAGAGGGCACATGTACTTGCTAGAGAGAGAGAAGAGAGAGAAAGAAAACGTCCTCCATGGGCGATGGCCACGCCACAACCTCTTCTCTTCCATCCTCCTTTTGGGATTTTGGGCATGTACATACATGTGCCAGCGTGATTTTCATGCTACCAGGTCTGGGACTTGAACCACATGATTGGCTATGTGGGATCCAGCCATCTTAACTACTACGCCACTAACTGGCCCTATGTCCTAGTTTATTTATTAAAAATTATTTAATTTAGGGACCAGCAGGTGGCGTGGTGGTTAAGGTGCTGGACACTCCCACATGGCCAACCATGGTTCGAGTCCCAGACCTGGCGGCTTCCTTTATTCCTGTCTCTCTCTCTCTGTGTCTCTCTCTGGTCAAATTAAAATAAATGAATGAATAAATAAAATTAAATAAATAATAATTTTTAAAAACATTAATTAATTTATTATTATTTTAACTTGCTATAGGGCATATGTGCTTACCAGAGAGAAAGAAAGTGAGAAAGCGAGCTTCCAGGTCTAGGACTCAAACCATAGTCAACCATGTGGGAGTTCTGGACCCCACAGCTTGAAAAAGCACCACGGGAATGTGTGCATGTAGCTCAAAATCTTTAAAGGAGGGAGAAATGGGAGGAGAAAGGATTGCACCGTGACCATGCCCCATGAGGGAGTACTTTCTCTTTTTCTCTCTCTAGGGATTGCATGTGCCCTCTGGCAAGTTAAACACACACACTATAGTTACAGAGGTAGTGAACTGTCAGAGAACACGGGGTGAGGCGGCTGGGGAGGCCTGGAAGGCCCTGGGGAGGGAAGAATGTGCTGTCAGCACCCACCATCTGTCTCTGTCCCCCCCCCAGGTGACTGTGGTCCGGAACTTAGAGGCCTACGGTCTGGACCCGTGCTCTGTGGCTGCCATCCTGCAGCAGCGATGCCAGGCTAGCACCACTGTCACTCCTGTCCCTGGGGCCAGGGACAGCCTCCAGGTGCAGATCCAGGGGAACCAGATCCACCACCTCAGCTGGCTGCTGCTTGGTGAGCATCCACTCTGGAGAGCAGAGCTTGCTTGTTCAACTTGGTCTAGTCATCTCTCTCTCATACGCACACACACATCCATTGAGATTTGAGCAGCTAGTCAGAGATGGAACCAATGTCTGAACCAGATCCTTTGTCCCCTCTCAGAGTCAGTGCTCTCTACCGTACTGTGACAGCAGTTTTCTCCCTAGTCTTCCCTTTTTATAAAACGTTTGTTTCATAAAGGTGCCAAAGGACCATATAGGTTTTTAGAGGATTTGTTGAGCCCAGACTGTGCTCAGCACTCTGGGGCTGTCTGCAGCCACCTCTAATCCCAACGCTGCTGCAGAACTGTTATTTACAGACGAGGAGACTAAGGCCTGGAGAGGCCTTGCCCTGCCATGGCCAGCCTCCACCGCTGCAGCTGGGCCGTGAGCTTGTTTAGACCTTAGAGCCAACTTTTTCCCCACTAACTCTGGGTCATCCAGCTTCCAGTTTGTCCTCAGTTCAAACCATCCTCCACATCCCTGCCCAATTCAGCTTTCTTAAACATGATCACATCATCCTCCTCTAAAAATCTTTTATGCCCCTCTGGTGCCTTCAGAACAAACATCTAAGCTCAGTAAACAAGAGCCTCCCAGCCTGAGCCCGGTCTCCCCGTGGACTCTCTCCAGGAGCTCCCACACCCGTCACAGGCCTCAGCCACCCCGCACGTTCTCCGTCTGCTTTCACCGGGGCTGTCCCCTCGCCTAGTGCCCCTACAACCCAAGTCTGCCAGCCCTCAAAGGCTGCTGGGCCCAGCGTGGGGTTACAGGAGCTCATCCCCAACTAAATCTCACTGGTGTCTGCAGCTGGGCTGATTTTATAGACTATCTAAACCCTCTGCTAATTCGAGGGCTTTTTTTTTTTCTCTTTATCATCATCAAGTCCTAACACTTATAAATGCTCAATAAGCAAATTTATTTTATAGCCTTAGGAGGTACCTAGCTGTTAACTTCTAGAGTTGAGCTCCTTTAAGGGAAGAACCTTACGTGCTGAGAATAAACGTAGAAGAGAACAGATGAGCACACAATTGAATACATATGTATCGTCTCACGAGAAAATTATAAATGCCTGAAAGTAGTTATCAGTGTGGAAATGACTGAAACACACACTTTGGCCTCAAGGTGTAGGACCCAGTGCCTTCCCTGAGAAGCCGCGTTGGGCTGGTGTGGAAGAGCAGATCACACAGTGGAAGTTGTTTCGGCCGAGGCTCGGCAGGCAGGATGGGCACACAGTCAGACCCGACGC